AGTTAAAATCTCCCACTTAGGCTCAGGTCATGATCTCGAGGTTCGTGGGTTTGAGCCCCACGTTGGGCTCTGTGCTGACAGCTAGCTCAGAGCCTGGAGCCTATTTCAGATTCTTTATCTCCCTCTCTCTCTGACCCTCCACTGCTCTCACTCGCTCCCTCTCAGAAATAAATAAAACATAAAAAAATTTTTTTAAATAAATAAACTCACAAAGTGCTTTGTGAATTGTAAACTTTTACTGCCCACATTTCCACCAAATCTTATTCTAAAATCTAAAAGCTAGAGGGATTAAAATAAAGATTATAGATGTTGCCTTAATTCTTGTAATTAAACCTCAGATAACTAAAATACTCAGGGAAGAGTGTTCTAGTTAAAATTTAGCTGAACATTCTGGTCAACTTTAAAAAAGCCCTTTCAAATAAATTATATTTTCTTTCCATGGTAAATACATAACTATAAACTATAAAATAAATTTTATTTGGTGTCAAAGGATTTTTATTTTAAGTCTGTTTTCTGAAAATCAGTTCCTGTTAGGCTTAAAAGTAATCTATGTTCTGCCTTGAACTCATTTGCTAAACGACTTTTTTATTTCTTGTTTGGGGATATTTCATGGTAGATAAAGGCATGTTTATTTTAACCAAAGGTAGAACATTAATTATAAGTTATTCCAAAAGCTTATTTGTTCCTAAGTTGTTTCAAACATGAAATGCCTCTCCCCTCACTCCCCCAATTATAAATCACAATTAAGTTTTCTAGCTTGTCCAAAAAGCCCATAAACACAGATGAAATACATCTGCTAGGAGTTAAAAGTCACACAGATATTTTACAATGGAATTTATTAAACTCAAACTGAATATAAAACTATTTTCATTTACCTTTAATATTAGTATCTGAGAAAAACGCTAGCTGGAGGAACTCATGGACAGAGTGGTAAAAATTTCTGTAAATATCGTAAATGAGGCAATGATCCTCAGTTCTTTATTAGATAGAATTTATAAGGTCTCTCAACATGGCCACTAGGGGCCGTGATTAGGAATCCTGGTCAGATCAGCTCAGAATCATTAGGAAATAATGAAGGTGGGAGACAGCACCACTGAGTGTCCAGAGTTACCTGAACAAGTGGAATGAATACATGGGGAAAAAGAAAATGTTGAAAGGATGGCTGTGTATCAATGGAGCGAAAATAGGTGAGGTATGGATGGTAAGACAGAGACAAAGAGACCAGAATATGACTCCAAGCAGAAGAAAGGAAGTAATAGAAAGCAATGCTGGAGAAAACAGTACCCCACAAAAGCCACAAAGACTGAACTTGGGGCATAACAAAGTCACCAAAAACAGAAGAGGCCTCGATACAAGTGAAGGAGACTTTCCTTTGAATCTGCAGGATGACCTGACTTACACATGCCAGATGGCCACGCTTGGGTCATGTGTACCTGAGAGAATGCCCAATAGTGAGATTTCTCTGAATGCAAATGATCACAGAGGCTTTGTATGGCCTGTCCCAAGGCAGGTTGGCCTTGGCTGGAAACTTGGTTATGGCTCATTCACTGCCTCTTTCATCTCCCAATGCCCTAATGGAATGATTTCCCAGTTTTATTCTTATCCCTGAATTTACACCCAAGCTCCGTATGTACCAGTGCGTCTATATATAGATTCCTGAAATTCCTGACCTTCAACTGGTCATGTGGGTCTGGATATATATACAATCTTCCCATCCTGCCCTTTTCCAAGGCAAAGTGTCATTTGGTCTAAGTAAAAATGTAGTGCATTCACTCATTCAACCAAAAGCCGATGTTGGGTGTTAAGGCACCATCTTAGGTCCGGTAGCAAACACAACCATCTTACTTGGCTCCTAGAAATCACTGATGCATTTTATCACAACATGTGAAACAAAAACCATAAGAGGCAAATGGGGGACTTTTCTGACCTTTAAGATGCTCTCGTCATTTTGAAATATGCTAAACTGTGGCTGGCTGGATGTTAAATTTTACAAACCAAAGAACAATGCCAATTCCAAGTCTGATTAAGAGCAGAGAGAGAACTGAATGTTCTCCATGTTGTATTTCAGAGATAAGACACGGTGTTGTAAAAAGGGGAGAAAAGCTAACCGAATTAGTAATTTTCATACCCAAACTTCTGATAAACAAGCCACAGCCACTTACAAAGACCTTTCACTGAAAGGTGAAAGTAGTTTTCAATCACTACCACCCATACATAAAGCCCTGTGCACATACACAGGTGGATGTATTCATACGCACAGCAGGTCACAAACACAAAAGCAATGCTGTAGAAGATCGCACTGGAGATTGGGGAAAACGTACTGCACTGTGGTTGAAAAGTTTTCTGCTCTTGGGGTGCCTGGGTGGCTCAGGCAGTTAAGCATAGACTCTTGATCCACTCAGGTCATAACCTCATGTATTGTTTGGGAGACTGAGCCCCGTGTCAGGCTCTGTTTGGACAGTATGGAGCCTGCTTGGGATTCCCCTCTCCCTCACAATAAACTTTTTTTTTTTTTAAAGAAAGTTTACCTTTAAAATGATACCAGGAACAAGTTGTTTTTTTTTCCAAATCTTCAAGTCCAACCTCGGTTTAAGTCAAAATTTCAGTTCAAAATTTATTTTGGAACCAAGGAAAGGCATTCAGTATTTAACACATCTACTGAAGCATATAGAGACTACTACTTGTATTTGCCCTGTTAAAGTTTTCCGCAGTCTGGCTCAGTGCCTCTAAGCAGGAGCATTTCCAGGGCCCAGGGCCAAAAGCCACCAGAGCCTGCAATTCTTTCCCTGGAATCAAACACCATACTTCAAGAGAAGGGAGGATAGAGCAGGATATTCCCTTCTTTACTACAGCATTTAATGTACTTAGCTGAAGTATTTTCAGAAAGATTCAAGAGTTGCCTCTGGAAGGCAGCTCTTGTGATTATCTGCCTGGATAAAAACTGTGTCTGACACCCATAACAGTGACTGGCCTCTAGTAATCTCAACACCAGATGCAATTAGTCCATTTCTCCAACTTTTTGATCTTTAACTTGAAAAACGGAATGCCTAAGTGCCATTCCTTTCTAGAAGACCTGTTCCAGAACTCTTTGATGTCATTGTCAAAATCCTTTTGGAGACTTTTCCCTATGGAAGTGTATCATTTGGGGAAAGTCAAGGAGGAGGGGTTGGGGGGGAAGAAGGGTCCTGAAGTAGGGAAGAAAAAGAATGGGTACAAGGTTTCACATACACTTGAGTTACTAATTAAGATCTCAAAAATACAGCATTGAGTTTAGGTGTATTTAATTTCCCACAGTATTTCATCAAAAGTCTTGAGGTAAGAATTCTCTGCCAATTCAATTATGTTACAGCAAAACACGCTGCCTAATGGGATAAGAAATATTCACGATCGTACTACTTATGGAAGTAAGACCTAAGACTTCCATATCCAATAGCAAGAGTTGCATCATGAGAGCATAATGGAATGCTATTTAGCTGACTGCATGTGTCAAAGACTGAAATGCAGGTTTCAAAGATAGGACTTTGCTAGTACCTATTATGGATATAAGTAAACGAGTAGGAAAGACTTAAAACCTGAACACAGCAATTGGCAATTTAACAACCTTTCAAGACTGTAGGCATTTAGAAATGATTTAACATTAGTTACGCACAGATTCAATGTACAATTATTTGATACCCTGTAGTGTGCTAAACATGTAAAAATACTGATACTAAATCTTTCAGTGATCATGTTCTAAAAGCAAAAGTCTCCCATTAACAGAAAGAAAAAAAAAGGTGACTCAATCGATCAAAACTAAGTTCTCATCAATATCATGTGTTCTAGACTCAGTGATATATGATGCAAAAATATATGCTGATACAAAAATTATGTAGTTTGCGAGTATTTGAATCTTAAGACTTAATTTGTGAGTACTAAGCATATGATACCACCTCTTTAAGAATGTTGGTTCCTCAAAGTATAACCTCTCCACCATACCTGAAACATAGTGAAAATGGAAATGCTTATGAAAGGAAAGTAGTTTTCATATATGAGAAAGATTTTCTACACAGCACTGCTCAATCATAGTCAGTGATAATGCTACTTTATAATAAGTACTATACATACAATAAAAATTATGGCTGCTTGCAATTTTCAACTTACTGCCACACAGAAATTGCTCCCATTGGGTCCTCACAATAATCCTATGCAATGGGCAATGGAGACGATGTCCTCATTGTAACAAATGAGAAATTGAGGTTTGGGAGAGTTATCCACGATCTTGGCAATTACTAACTAAATCAAGAATCCTGGCTCTGACTCTCCATACAGCACTTCCCACTATGGATCTAGAATGAATCTCTCCCCTACCCCCAACATTTCAAATAAGGGACTGTGGACCTTGCAACTGTCCTAACAAAGTAGCGGAAAAACGATGGCTACTTTTGTTGGCAACAAAAACCGTGTAACCTATGGTTAAAAGAGTGGACCAAGAATCTTAAACGTTTCTTCACATCGCATAAGAAAATTGATGGAATTTCTGAGCAGCTGCAAGGAAATTCCTCAGTAGAGCCAAAAGAAAAGGCATTTGGTTAAGTTCCTGATAAAACTTAAAGAGCTCTGTTAAATCTTTTCAAGCGAAATCAGTTAATGCAAAGAAGGGCATGAATTCTGCAGAGTAGCCAAAAAACAAACATGCAAATGGAATGTATGTTCGTAATTCCAACAACTTTCCGGTTGGCCCTTTTTCCCTTCTAAAAACTTCGTACCCTCTCGGGGGGCGAGGGGGCACTTCCAAAGATGACCGTTTGAACATTGGGATTTCCTAAGCAGGCCCTTAGAAGCATCAGTGGCGAACGTGAACGTGAACTACTCCCCGGGGGCAAAGCGAAGAACAGTGCGGAGCGCGTGCAGGCGAGGGGCCGCCGCAGTAACGCCGTTTCTCTCCGGCCCCGGGGTGATGACCGCGCACGGGGCGCAGGAGCCGGGCGCCGCCCTCCCCGCCCTCCCGGGCGCCGACCTACCAGCGAGAGCACCTTGTAGGTGTTAGGGTCCTTGGCCGTGCGGGCGTGCGCCGCCTTCTCCAGCGGCTCCTCCCCCATGTCCATGGGGGCCAGCAAGGACGCGGCCGCCTGCCGGTCCCCGGGCGCCTGGGCTGCGCGGCCGTGGCTCGGGTCGTGGCCGTTCCCCGCCGGGCCCTCCCGGGAGCCTCGGCCGCCCTCGCCGCCGCCGCTCCCGTCCCCCGCGCAGACGTCGCGCTCCATCGTGGCCCCTGGTGCTGCGGGCCCGCCGCCCCGCTGCGCCTTTAATAGGCTCCGCGCCGGCCCCGCCCCGCCCGCCGCCGGGCCCGCCCCTCGCCGCCAGACCCTTGGCCCCGCGCCCGCCGCCCGGCGCTGGAGTGAGGGGAAAGCAACTCAACGCCCCGGATTATTTGGCTTCCTGTCTGATTTCGGGCACTCTGCGCGTCGGTTATTTTGGGTCCTTTATGTGGGCGCGTCTTTAACTTCCCCTCCCCGCGCCCCGGGCATCTTCCGAACACTTGCAGGAATCGCCCTGGACTGGAATTGCAGAGTGTGGTCTGCAGAGGGCATGAGATCATGGGGCCCCAAAATAGAGCGGAAGGAGGAGAAGGATGCAGCCCAGGCTGGTGCAGCTTCTTCACGCCGGGAGAGTGGAATCTGGCCGACCCGTGTTTCTAGATGGACGTGCAAATAGTCTGGAGGGTCAAGGGTGGGACAAGGCGACCTTTCTCTTCGGCGTGGGAACTAGCGAGGGTTCCCTCAAAGCCCTGCTACCCACTACTACTCTACTCTGAGAAAGGAATAATCAGCCTTAAAATGTCTAGTTAACAAAAGTCCGCATATATAATGGATACTTAGTTTCCCACGGTTTTATATGGTTTCTGAGTTTTTAGAGCTGATCTTGCTTTAATGTATTTACTTATTAGTTCCTTCAGGCTTTCTGTGTTGAAGGTTTCAATGTCCATGTTGCTTTATCCTGAAATTGATGCTGACGCTTGGTTAGCACTATTGAACATTTACAATCTGAAATACTTTGATACCTTATTTTTGAAGTAGGACACGAACGGTGGGCTTTAATTCTTGATGGGTTTTGATTCGCCTTTGATTCGCAACTTTTACATTCCCTTGCTCATCAGTTAGAAAAACCACAAGTGTGTAGTGAAGTGATTTTTTTTTCTGTCAAGGTGAAACCAGTGACTTTCAACTGCCTTGCAATACCAGGGACAGACTTCAGTGACCAAAGAAACTTCTACAAACACAATTCATTTTCAGTTCACTTTGATTACACAAATGTATGCAAGTTTTTAAAAACTAAGGATGGATATCTAATAGATATAAAGCATGTGTTGTTCCCTTTAAAGTAGTCAATTTAGAGGGCGCCTGGGTGGCTCAGTGGGTTGAGTCAGACTTCAGCTCAGGTCATGATCTCTCGGTTCCTGAGTTGGACCTGGTGGGCCCTGGGCGCCACTGAGCTCTTTGCTGACACCTCAGAACCTGGAGCCTGCTTCAGAATCTGTGTCTCCCTCTCTCTCTCTGCCCCTCCCCTGCTCACATTATCTCTCTCTCTCTCTCTCTCTCTCTTTCAAAAATAAATAAGCATTAAAATAGTCAGTTTAGGGTGCTTTCCATTCATATCGACTCATTAATTCATTCATTCAATAATGAATTGTTCAACTCAATCTTTTGGCCTCCAACTATATATACCATATTGAAGATGAATAAAAGTGCATATTTCTCAAGTAGCTCTCAGTCTGGTCGAAGTGGATAAAGAAAATAAACCAAAAAATATAAAAACCCAAGTTTTATGTGCATAACAGTCACAAATAGAATATTTTGGAAGTTTAGTGGGAAGGTAACTGACATCTGGAAGAAGTAAAAGCCATCCCTCAAAACATTCTGGAGCCTTTTTTTTAATTACCTTTGAGTCAGCTTACAACCACCCAAGAGAAACAGGTTTTCACTATTTCATAGCCACACATATTTTTTACCCCAAACTTGGCTCCAAATTTTCCTTTAACTGCTTCCAAAGATTGGATTCAAGGACAAATATCTGTGCCACAGAGACTGGTCAAATGAGTGTCAAATCTTCTATGAGAAACTCAACAGAGACTTCCAAAGTGGCTTTGAACCTGACAAAACAAATGGAATCAGTATATTCACTGTAGCATCTCAACGCAAAGAATCACTTTGAAACCTTCACCCATGGGAAAGGTCAGCTTACAGTCTGCAGTCACAAACTCAAATGCCCTTAAATAAGGGAGGCAGCCCCCCTGTGGGTGAACTGCGTGCCCTGTTATAGGGATGAGGCATTTACTCAGCAGGACTGTGTGCCCAGTGTGGCCAGATAGATTGCTCAAGAGAAACAGGAAATTTAGATGTTTGTGTGAATTCTCCAGATTGCAAAACTTTGTCTACAAAAATCAGAGAAACAATTTCTTTAAACACTAGAAAGGCCAAACAAAATGTAACACATCTGCAGGGTGGGCCTGACAAACAGGCCACCAGGATGTGGCCTCTGACATTGCTCAGGCTTCTCCTGTGCCGGTCAGAACATCTATGGGTAACTATAAAAGTCTAATTGAAAGGTTAAAATCGGAGAATTAAGAATGGCTCAAGTATGCCACTCAGATTATTTAGCTACGGACATCGCAATCCCTGTAGTAAAAACTTGTTTATATTCCAAAGAGTCTGAGAGACAGCTTTATACTCCAAAGTACCACTAAACATAAATCTGCAACTCAACTTTTCTGGTTAGTGCAAGGTTAATAATGAATGTTTTGGGGCCTCTGAGTGGCTCAGTCAATTAAGTGTCTCAAGTCATGAGCTCGTGGTTCTTGAGTTGCTGGGAGCTGCACTGGCCTCTCTGGATGACAGTCACAGCGAGGAAATGGTAACAGTTGCGCAGCTCCTGCCAAAAGAAAACTGGTATCTCCTTCTGCTACTACAGGCTCATGTTGGAAATGAGCCTGCGGGTATTGACCAGGCCTCAAAATATTCCAGATCAGACAGATATTCCCCACACAGATTGCTCATAAGAAATATGAAAGCATATTCCTGCCTTTTCAAAAGAGATTTCAGATGAAAGCATCGTGGATGATTGTTAAAAGGCTCTTCCTATGGGCCTTGACTTACATAATAAAGATCCAAGACTTACATAATAAAGGGGGCTAAGAACATGACTTACAATTGAGTCTGGCCCTGAGACAAAAGAGCCTAATTTAGAGTTAAGGGCAGATATCCACTCCCACCAAATTGTTTCTGCTTGAAGCACCGCCCTCCCTCAAGGCATTTGTGATCTGTATTTGGAGTGACTTATTCTGGCCTTGAATATGCTGATTGCTCCCTATAAAGGAACAACCTATTGAGGAACTTCTTTTGTGATTATGGGAGCAGAGGTGTTTCCTGAAAGACCTGTTTGACCCCTGCTCACAAAGAAGTAACTTCACCCTTTTTATGCTAAAAACTTTGTCTTGTATGCTAAACAAACCTTCCTTACCATAGGATAAGCATCTAAATTCCCTACCCCAATCACTATTGATAAAGGTTATGCAGGAAATTCTTACATATCAAAGACGTTTGTCATCAGAAATCATTGTCTAAGGCAAACGTCAGTTCTGTGCCGTCCCCCAAACACTTAATTATAAAATAAAGTTGAGCCCCAGTCAGAGCGGAGATGCCTGGTGATCAGAAAGATTCTTGGGCTTTCTCATCTCTCCCTCGCCAACACCGTCCAACCTTCAGGGACCCCTGGCCCCCGGCTGGAGCCGGCCTTCGACATTGAGTTCAAGCCCCGCATTGGGCTTTCTGGGCCCACTTTGGATCTTCTGCCCCCCCCCCCCGCCCCTCTCCTTGCTGCTCCTTCTCTCTAAATAAATAAATATATATATATAAATATTTAATATATATTAATATATTTATAAATCTATATATAAACTTTAAAAATACTAATAAATGCCTCGTCCTTGGTCCTAAACCACTGCGCTTTAATGATTGAAGACTTATCTAATATAGCAGTAAAGATGAGAGTTTAAGATTTTATTCGATTCCTCAGGTTTTACTCTTCAGAAATATTTAAACGTTTCTCCCTTGCTGCCTGGAACTTGAGACACAGATAAGACCAAAACACCAGATAAAACCAACTTCTCTATGTTTGAACTGTGACTTCTCAACATTGAGGAACAGTTCTTCTTGGCTTTTAAAAGGGAAATATGCTGCAGAGTGATTCTTTTACCAGAGGCCCCTCAGCTTCTTCAGCTTTCTCCAGTTCTCCAGCAAAACACCAAAGACCTCTCGTCCAGTCTAAAAAGAAAAAAAACTTCATGGCTCTTTATTCTTTGTAAGACTTGGAAAAAATTTTTTGCCATAGTGTTAACTTATTATTAGGATTTTGCATGATATCCTTTCTCTTTATTTTTTGTAAGCAGAAAAATACGCTCCCTGGGAGAAGCTTGGATAACTATGTGACCTTGTCTAGAGAATTTCAGGAACTTTGAGACTTGGCTTCCTTGTTTATAAACTGGTACTACAAATAATACCATAAAATCACACCGCTATTTCCAAATGCCAACAAAGTGTTTAACATTTCCCCAACTTACATAAAAGTTTAAATGTATTCTTTCCATATTTAGGGGCACCTGGGTGGGTCAGTCAGTTAAGCTTCTGACTTTGGTTCTCGTCATGATCTCGCGGTTCATGAGTTTGAGCCCTGCATAGCGCTCTCTGCTATCAGCACAGAGCCAGCTTCTGATCCTCTTTACCCTGCCCCCCACTGCCCCCCCAACTCATGCTCTCTCAAAAAATAAAAAAAATGATGAAACAAATGTATCCATTCCACATATAAATATCTCAGCTCACACTCCTAAGAGAATAAAGCAATTTAATTTTCACATGAATAATGCATGACTTAGGGGCACCTGAGTGGGTCAGTTGGTTACGTGTCCAACTTCAGTCCAGGTCATGATCTCTTGGGTCTTGAGTTCGAGCCCTGCGTAGAGCTCTGTGCTGACCGCTCAGAGTCTGAAACCTGCTTCAGATACTGTGTTTCCCTCTCTCTCTCTGCCCCTCCCCCACTCACTCTCTGTCTCTGTCTCTCTCTCTCTCAAAAAATGAATAAACATTTAAAAACTATTTTTAAAAAATAATGCATGCATTATACGTAATTTCTGGAAAGGTTTGAGAGCTGCCACTGAAAATGCATCTATACAAGGAGACCCCGTGGGGTCTGAACGGGATGCCTGCCTCTC